CACACGAGAACTTCCCGATGGGTCACCCATCCTGGGAGTGCTCTCGTGCGCTACTCGCTTAACTTCGGAGTTCCGATGGAACCCGAAGCCAGTGAGCTCCCAAAAGGCCTCGTGCTAGGTAGGGATGAGATATACATATAAGGATCACCCCTGGGCGATGTGGGATGTCACATTCAAATTTTTTAACACTATGTTTGGATAGGGGAAATAAACGTGTTTTCTAAAGATGTAATGGACAATGTAAGTAGACAGAAAGAAGTTAAGGATTGGAATAATTCTAATACTCAGGTGTTAATACATGCAGGGAAAGTGAGATTTTTTGTTTTTTGAACAAACTATATTCTGTACACTAAGGGGGTGGGGGAATGGACTAAACCTCACAATAAGCTAGCAAGAAAAGTGAGGAATTGAAATGAGTATAATTTCTGAAACGCATTTTACGTGACTGAACATGACATGAAGTTGTGATAAGTTAGCTACCATGCACATAATTATTTAGTCTAGTGGTACTCACAAACAAATCCACTAATGGACATCAACCATGTTTTAAAAAAGAGTCACGCTAGGAAGACAAAAAAATTTACAAACTAAATGATGAACTAATAGGAATGAGCACATTTATTAATACTTAAGTAATAAACCAATCAACAATTTCCATGTTCTTTAGTTTCCATAATTTTGTTTACAAATTTAGTCTCCCTAGTATTACCCAATACACTACGTTTGGATGGAGAAATTTAAGATTACTAAGGAATTTTAAAATGACGAGATTTTATTTTTTAGAATTTATGAATTTTCTTGTTTGGTTAGCTTAAAAGAACAATGAAAATATGAAATTTGTTATTTTTAAATTCTCAATCATAGAAATTAGGAAAATGAGACCTATTTATATGGAATTTAAATTTGGGAATTAGAGGTCTCAAATTCCAAGGTTTTTTTTTTTCCACGCGGAAATTCTAAATCTCAATCCACCTATACAATTGGTTGAATTAACCTTTAACAAAAATTCGATATACAAGTCAATAAATATTAAATACAGTACAAGTAGCACTTTCATAAAAAAGGACACATAGTATTACAGTTTCTTGGTAATTTTATTTTTTTTGTAAGTGAAGAATCTTTGATTTGATTATCTCCAACGGTGAATACAAACTAAATTATTATAGTTAGCCCATTGTGAAATTGAATTCACTTTCCTCACCCCATTAATGTAGATAAGGTAATGCTACGGAGACCAACTTTTTAGACCAAATTTTGTAAACAATATAATATAGTTGTTGATGATTGTATTATTACAAATGTTGATTAACATATTTATTTTTTATTAATCACGCATCATATACTTAATTGTTTACAAATTTGGATTACCAAGCATTATTCGCGTAGGGATATCAATATTAAAAACAAAACAAAAAGGGATTTTGGATCATGGTGGACAAGGCCCGCTCATCACCAGGCCCGGTTCGGTTTCAAACCCCAAACAACAAGACGCGTCGTCTGCAATTGCATTTTCGTCCAGAACACAAAAGAGACCGCCCTCTTTCTTTCCCTCTCTCCCCCCTCCGAAATCTCATTTTTCATCCGAAAAAAGCTTCTGCAAATTCATCCAATTCAACAATGGAGAACCGAGCGGTTCAAGAGGTAACCTCTCTCCTTCTCAATTTTACATACATTTACATATGTACATTAAAAAACTGAGCTTTTCGATGATTTCTGGTAGATATTGGAGAAGCAATTGCTAACGGTTGCGAAGGCGGTGGAGGACAAGCTCGACGAGGAGATCGCAGCCCTAGATCGAGTTGACGATGACGATCTGGAGGCGCTTAGAGAGCGGAGGCTTCAGCAAATGAAGAAAATGGCGGAGAAGCGCAGCCGTTGGATCTCCCTCGGACATGGCGAGTACTCTGAGATTCCTTCCGAGAAGGACTTCTTCTCTGCCGTCAAGGCCAGCGACCGGGTCGTCTGCCACTTTTACCGCGAAAATTGGCCCTGCAAGGTTGAATTTTAACTTTTTGTTTAAGTACCATTGTAAGAAAATTGAAGCTTTCTGTTAAAATTCTAGTTTTGGGGTGTATTTTCTAGGTGTAATTGTTTGAATTTCGGCAAAAAAGTTGTAGTTTTAGTGTAAACTGTTGTGTTTTCTGAGCTTGAAGTGTGGAAAGTAGCAGGAGGGACATTGTATGAATTTTGAATTTTGTATTTGGTGATTGGAGGGAGTGATGTAGATGCTGTGGTTTATAATCGGTTAAGTTGGGTGTTCATTTCTCGGGGCACACAGAAGTTCAGGGGTATAAAGGGAGAAGGGAGGATGCAATTCTTTACAGAGAGGAAACAATATGAATGAAAAAAGGAACTTGTAGATGAGTTCTTTCGGAACCCCTTTGATAATTTGGATAGATATGATGAAATTATTGAGCATACACCTGCGGACTAAGTTAGTTTTGAAGTTTGGCATTTTCCGTTTTCTGGAGTTGCTTTTGGAAGTCTTTCTGTTTGGGGTTTGTTGATTGGAAGTTAAAATGTATGGACAATGTTCAGAAATTTGTGGATGTTTTGGATATGAAGAAGTATTACTTTTGTCTTAGATGCATATTGTAGAGAGCTAGTACCTGTTCTGATTTCAGTGCTTATTCCCAAAATGTTTGATCACCTAGATGTATATGGGGCTTCTACAATATCACTTCTAGCTGTTGTTGGTATTGGTTAAATATCCTAGGTTTTATCTAATGAGTACTTGTATTACTGATAAAGTTTACTCAAAAGTTAGGACAAACAATTTATATGTACATTTCATTTGCAGGTAGTGGACAAGCACTTGAGTATATTGGCGAAGCAACACATGGAGACACGTTTTGTGAGGATCAATGCTGAGAAAAGTCCCTTCTTAGCGGAGAAGCTCAAGATTGTTGTTCTTCCGACCATTGCTCTTATTAAGAATGCCAAAGTGGATGATTATGTGGTATGTATAGGAAGGACTTGCAGACCATAGACTAAATTGATAATTTGCTTTCTAATGGCTGGTGTCCATTTTGCAATAGGTTGGATTCGATGAGCTTGGTGGGAAAGACGACTTCAGCACAGAAGAACTGGAAGAGAGGTTGGCTAAAGCCCAAGTCATTTTTTATGAAGGTGAATCATCTATGAAGTCTAGTGCACAAACCAGGAGTGTCCGGCAAAGCAGCAAGGCCGACTCATCAGATTCAGAGTAAAGCCATAGCTATCTGTTTTGGTTGTTATTAAAAGGCAGAGCTGTTCTTCCTTCATCATTTGCGACTTTTGGTTGTTATTGGAAAGCAGAGCTGTTCTTCCTTCGCCATTTGCGGAGTCACAAATTCACCTGCTTTTGTGGAATGGCCTAGTTTATGATTTGTATGAAGTTCAGAGTTATTACTGCCTCTTTACGGTATCTTTGAGACCATCATCTAGATGGTATGACAATAGTGTCGATGCATGTATTAACGAAAAAACAGAGCTCTGTGAGCTTTTCGCAAAATATTAATCCCCAGTGAGGTAGTGAAAATTTGAAATTGTCTTGTGGTTTGTTTGCATTGTTTTGTTAGGTTTCTGCTATGTGGGGGTTACTGGTTTTTGGTCAACATGTTACACCAGTTGAGATTTCTCCTAAATGAATGTTTTTTTTTTCTGTTTGATCTGTGAGTCCACCTTCTCATCTCCTTGTGTTGTCGCTTACAAGATATGGATCCTCCGCTATTCTTGTTCCAGATAAATAAATAGAAATAAATTAACTGTTAAGGGACTTGGGTGTAGCCACCATGATTAGAACGGACCTGCTCTCTTATAAGCATTCAAGTTCAAATCTTCCTCACAACTAGGATAAATTGTATCCAAAAGAACTGTTATATGCACTCGAGTTCAAATCTTCTTCACAACTAGGATAAATTGTATTCAAAAGAACTGTTAGTCTAAATGGTTAAAGACACTCCAAGATTATTATCTGGTTTTGTGTTTATCATCTAATTTCAGGGTACTTATTACCTAATTTTGGTATTATTTTTTAGATTTAGCTACAATACCTACACGTAGACAATTCCAATTGAAAGTTAATAAAGATAGAATAATTCTATAATCTTCACCCTAAGAGCAGTTCCACCGGAGGTAGAATAGCCCAGCACCTAGTAAAAAAACCAGGCTGGCACCCTGTCAATTCACTCTAGCCCGTGTGTTTGCCTAGCACCCAACCTAAGCTAGTCTCCAGACCAGCCCATTTTTAACAGACCTTGGGACCGGGCCATCTGTGTTGTTGTGCCTGGCGCATGGCACGTGGGCGCGAGTAGCAGACAACAAAATCAAAGGCGGGGCCCAGTGGCGCAGGCACACTAACATCTCCGTTGGGTGGGTGACGTGGCCTAATTTATGCCGTTGGATTTCCAACGGTAAAAAAAAATTCGACTTTCACTTTTAAATTGGACCATTCGATCACAAATCAACGGTCCACGTTTTTTCCCCCAAAAAAAAAAAAATTTAAAGTCATAAATTAAAAATAAAATAATTAATTTTATTATTTTATAATAAAAAATAATAATATTTTAATAAAATTGACCAGCCTATTTTTTGTTTTAGGGGTGGAGATGCTTTGGCCTATTACTATTCATTGAGGTCTATTACTGTTCACTTGAGTGGATAAATGCGGTAGGTGCTTGTGCAAAATCTTTAAAGATGGAATTGCTCTAAGGGAAGTTTTACACCATCATATGGCCCGTCATGAGTAACAAATATTGATTACTTTGTTTTTTGACATAAATATTATTGAATAATTTGATTTAGTTGATAAAAGGTATAATAAAGTTTGTTTTTTAAAATAGTGACAATCTCCATTGAATTTTCTACGGTCAAGCCATTCTTTAGCAAGTAGCAACAACAAAATCAAAGTCAAATGCTAGCGACAATCACCCATGTGATTGTTGATGACTTCATACATAAATAGTTGAGTTATTCACGCATGCATAACTGTCAAAATTAAAATCTTAGCCAAACATATTAAAAAACACCATAGATTATATATCAATATTCTGAGATCAAAATCTCTATAACTTAGCAACATTGGGAAGCCTCCATAATCTACAAACATCCACCTAATGGCTTGGTTAGTGCATCAAGCGCTTGAAACACATGCCATATTATAGTGCAGATGAACTCTTCCTCCACGCTAACTTCCCTACCACAAGGGCCTTAAAAAAAGACAACATAACAACAACAAAGTTTAGTCCTCCTAATACAATTATACTATAATTAACAACCACAACAAGGTTGCCACTAAAACATTTAGCCTAGCAACAACAATAAGAAGTCGACTCTAAAGAGTTAGGGATAGAGAGATAATGCAACATAACAAAAGCCCAGAATCGGCAAGGTTATGGCCCTTCCGTCTGCTGGTCAAGCTACATTTTGTGGTTTACATGATTTAGTAACGATGCCTGTGACCCCTGGTTTTGTCCAGCACCCTTTTCCCGTAAAGATGACTGTGGAGATAAGGGTAATGGCTCCGAACGAGTTGCACAAGAGTATTATGAGCAGCTCCCTGCTTTGCCAACAACAAATACAGATTAGATCACTACAACATGTATATTGGTATCAAATGGTTTTTTGATTGTGCACACAAGTGATAGAGAGCTAAGGGCTCTAAACCATGACTGTTTATTCCTTTAAGACATGATCAGTGGACATAAGAGGTAACAGAAAATGGAAAGTTCAAATTTCTTCGAAGGTATGTATGTCCAAATATTGGAATTAAAAAAAAAAAAAAAAGAAGCAAAGTAGGTTGTGTGATAAGATAAGATTAGAATACATCAGACTTTTGATTCGTTCTAATATAACGGGGGAAAAATAAGGGAGAAAAATTTCATCCAACGGCGATATGAATTGTTTGTATCTATCACTATGAAACTGGTCATGTGACCTAGTATGTAGTGACAAATAGATCATTTGATAGACACATAAACACTATACAGTTTCATGAAAGTTACAATAATCCAACAACAAAGGAGGCATCCAAGATTACTTAACGAAAGAAAGATTATTAAATTTAATAATTGTTTACATGTATCAAGGTAATGTCCTCTCTTTTTAGATATATATAAGATTTTATGTCACCGAATACTGAATTATCAATCTAACACCATACATTTTAAATGAGATTACGTTCATATCGATTTTTGGATATTGCCATAATCAACCCAAGGGAGTTAACAAGTTAGTGCAGCAAAAGCATTTTGTGTATGATTTTACCTTGGATACTCCCAGAGCAGATTGAGCAACATAATTCCCATAAGGATCTTGAAGAAGAGCCAAAAAGTGTGGACTATTAATCATCTCGTAAACAATGGCATTGACATGCTCTTCTCCAGCCTCTTTCAAGATCTTCTCAACCACATTACTGCCATACTTATTCATGCATAGATTAACAAAACTACCTCCAAGTTGTGCTAGTATGTCAGTTGTAACACGCGGGTTCTTTAATCCAATTATGTACTGCACGACATAGTTCCTGGTAAAAAACAAAAGGAGAATATAGTATCATAGATGTTATATGTGTCAACTACAATTAGATTAAGGTAATACTTGTGAGATACCAGAAACATGTTATGTTTCTACTATAGTTTAAACCTTGTTATTTAGGGAGAACGATTCTCTCCCCTCCTAATCTCTCTCCTCTTTCTTCCCCTTTTATTTATACGGTCACGGTTAAGTCACGTCAATATCTTATATTGATTTGTTTTATAAAGACAATAAGACAAAAAACAATGTGTGAGAGGAGGGGAATGAAGTAGATGGGAATAGGAGATTATTTAACCTATAATTATGAGCTCGAAGTATACATAGATATTACGTACCTTTGTAATCAACCAAGTTCATTTTTCATAGAAATCAATCCGAGCTCCTTATCTTCGTTGAATTCTTAGAAACCCTAGAATTATTGCTATCTGTTCAGGAACTATATGGAATAATCACTGACATTTTCTGAATAGGTATGACGAATCCGATCATTATGGCCGATTAATCTAAGCACTATCTAGTAATACAAAGTCCACCTAAATCACGGTCCAAATTAACAAGCTAGTTATATTATAAGGAAAACTAACAAAAGGGTTTGAAAACTTACTAAAAGTGACTTTTTAGAGTAAAAATGTCATTTTTGTCAAAAGTGAACAGTACTAAAAATGTTTCGTTAAAACTCCCATTATTATATTGCCTATAACCATAACGACCTGATATACAAGTTAAGATATGACCTATTTAAAATTATAAATAAAGTTAACATATGATTGTTCCTTCAGATAAATTCCAAATGCCAAGGAAGTTCAAAAACAAATTAAAGGGAAAAGTGTGATTTCACGACTGCCAACATATTGCCCGCAGTTCTCTAATGAGATAAAACGACGAGGTGGTCTAATTTACCCTAACAAATGGTTAACAAGAAAGAAGTAAATATATCTCAAACAATAGTATGTACACTCCATCTACTCGTTGCGTTGATGACTACATCACTCACATATCGTGAAGTCAAAATCAACAGAACTGTTCCACTTGAGAATTGAGAAATGTAGTTAAGCGTAAAACAATTTACATATATGACAAACATGTAGGTTAGAGGACAAACCCGTAAGGATCTTCAGAGAGAACTCGAGCATTTTCAGTTATGTCAGCCACAAGACGCTCTTTAGCTTCTGTATAAGCATAATGAACACTACTTTGCACTAAGCAACACCCAAATTTGTCTTTTGCAAGAGCAAGGCAGTTTTCGTATACTAATTCTAGAAGACCCTGCAAAATAATAACAATTTGCAGTTGAAAGACTTATAATTGGAAATTAACTCTCTACTACATCAATTCAGCTACAAAATCTATATAAAATATACCATGACAACAATTTATATTATACAACTTAGGTGCAAAATTAACCAAAATTAAGATCTAACTAATTAATCATTACCAAAATTAACAAATTTTTATCCAAACATACGAAGTATTAGAAGGTTGTGGCATACACTTACAACATGTATCCCAAAGCCAATGTGTGTATTGAAGAACTAGCTAGCCACATACCCATGCATAACTTCTAATGTTTCGCTGTGCTAATTTCTTGTTATTCCATCGATTGAAGAGCCAATTCTTAAAATATAATGAAATGGTTGATCCTTCTAACTACAAGTTTGTTTTATTATGTATTGCTTGTTTATGAAGAACAAACAGGTCTTAAAGATAATAAAATGGTTGATACTTTTAACTATAAGCTTGTTTCATTATATATCGCCCCTCTATGAAGAACAAACGAGTCTTAAAGATAATAAAATGGTTGATCCTTTTAATTACAAGCTTGTCTCATTTTATATTGCCCCTCTATGAAGAACAAATAAGTCTTAAAGACAATGAAATAATTAATCCTTTTTAACTACAAACTTATTTCATTATATATCAGATCTATAAAGAACAAACAACTAGAGATAATAAAATGGTTGATCCTTTTAACTACACGCTTGTTTCATTATATATCGCACCTCCATTAAGAACAAAAAAGTCATTAAGATAATAAAATGGTGATGCTTTTAACTACAAGATTGTGTATATACTTTCTCTATGAAGAACAAATTGCAAGACAAGTCCAACAGGAAAATTAGTAGTTCAAAAAATTATATTGAGTTTCCTTCAACATCATATTTTGGACATGATTGTACATATATAACTAATTAATGTGTACATAATATTTTTCAAATGATAAACTTTTTCTTATGCATTTTATGCATATAAAGTTAAAGACGAAATGAAATGTGTGCCCATTACAAGCCAGCTGTCTGTTTTCACCTATCCAACATGAAAATTAGTAGGTCATGTCATACATATTCAAATGCTAAACAAAACTTAAAGCTTATACGTTTATCCTGGTGCATTGAACAAGTAATTTATCCTGGGTAAATTTACAAATGATAGATTATTGATCCTTTAGCTGCAAGCCTTAATTTCTTCCTCCACAAGATGATAGATAGTGCAGTAATTAAATCAATCATACTTAATAAGATACACGATAAAAATAGTGGTTGATCAATTTAAGTTTTACACACACACACACACACACACACACACACACACACACACACACATATATATATATATATATATATATATATATATATTATATGAAGAGCACATTCCTTACCTTGGCGGATTCAGGAGAGAAATGTTTCAAGCAAACTTGAATCACATAATAACCAGGCTGGGTCTTGCTCAAGGGAATCGTTATATGCTTCAGAATCCGCATGAATGCCGACTGTTGCTCTCGGGTTTCAACGCGCTCCAGCAGTTTCTGCATTGCTCGACTTCTGCACAATCAAAAATTGGTTTTCGGTTCACTTAAAATAATTTTGAGGACTTATAGCTTCGGTGGTAGAGAGTACTTTACATTACGACATGAATTAAGTTTTTGAATTTGTCATCACCCTCACTTACTGAAATAAAAAATTAGAAAAAAAAAAAAAAATATCAATGACGTATCATTTGTACCCGTGCTGATCAGTGCATATGTCCTTGAGTTTTTTCTCATCACTCATCACCAAGTCAAGCATTTTGGACAGTCCTTCTTTGTTGGTGGCTTCAACAAGTTTCTGAACAAGTTCGTTGCCGAATTGATCAACCATCAATTCACGGAAATCCGCCTCCATGACCTCGGAGAAAATGATCGCAATTTCCTCCGGCTTGCCCTCCTCCATCTTCTTCTGCAAAAATTTAGACCCGGCATGATCTTTGGCCACCAAAGCAATTTGGCCTCTTATTTCTTCTAAAGTCAGAGAGAAAGTACTTGGATGCTGCTGCCGTGCAGACCCATTAGCAAACCTTGATCCCCTGATGGCATGATCATGATCTTTGGTAATTAAATTATTACTAGTCATCACTTGGCCCCTTTGTTCCAATGACGATGATGATGAGAAATTAGTATTTAGACGCTGTCGTCCTGACCCATTAGCATACCTTGATGATGATCCGCGGCTGCTAGTTAATCCGTTTCGCAGCGAATTATTAGGCCTCATTGGACGATATCCATAAGCACCAAATTGATCAGCAGAGGAAAATTGAGCAATATTATTTGGCCTAGAAGTACTACTACTCCCACTCCGACTTGCCCCTCCTGTATAAGTAGGTTCCACCTCTATCAAAGGAAAATTACTGCGTGCCACTGACAAAGAATGGGGAAGAGAACCATTGAAATTATGGTTATTAGTGATACCATGATTGGAAAGGGATCCATGAAGCCTCACGTACTGATCCATCTGTGCCATCAACAAAACATACTGATTCTTCAACCTCTCCACATATTCCTCCTCCTCCTGTACATGATGAGGGGATGGGTATTGAGTAGTAAAACCATTACCTCCTGAGAAGCTGTTTGCTCTTAGATTCGACGCAGTACCACCAAGCTGAGGCTGATGATCATGATGATGAGAATTGTTATTCGAAATGCTCAGTCGATTCAAAGCAGCAGGGAGATGATCCTGATTTTGGCTCTGATCAGCCAAATCAGTATTATTGTTGAGATTGGTGTTTTGTGAGGGGTTAGGGTTTTGGTATAGATGATTTGGGAGCATGGCGTTTTGATAAGAAACGTTCCCCAGACTAGGGTCCCAACAGATGTCCGGCAAGGAAGCAGAAGGAGAATCGCGACGAAGGTGATTTTCAGGGAAGATGTAGGGGGAGAGGACTAGATGGTCGTTGTTCGGGGCTGTAGTATTAAACCATTGAAGCGCAACCTCTCCTCTCTTCATCTCCATTAATATTATGCTTTGTAACCGATCAAATATGGGAAAATTGAAAGAGAGATAAGAGAGGAGGAATGACTGTGGCTGAGGCTGAAGGGTTTAAAAGACCTAGGTTGGGTTTAGAGATGTGTAAGCTATATAGAGATAGAGAGAGAAGGTACGAGGTTTTCACAATGGGGAAAATACATATATTGCTAGCTAGGGTTTAATCCAAATGGGCCTATAATTATTTTGCACCCAAAGAGAGAATATCATAATTAAAAATATAAGATAATATATACAGACATTAAAAATAAAGATTTGTAGTCGGGAAAAGGAAAAGCAAAAGATTTTAGGGGATGAGAAAAGGGAAGAGTTTGAGTAATATGAGGAATGTTTTGGGTTAACAGATTTCGGGCTTTGAAAATAAAGCGTTTATATCCTTGTCAATCTCTTACTGCATGAAGTTGACACTCATCGACCAATAGAATTACTCTTCCTTCCGCTTCACTCTCCCATTCAGCGCGGTTTCTAGGTAAAATGTGGAATATTATTATGATTCTATTTTCTATTTACTTATTTTACTTTTGCCCAGCTATGTAGTTCTTGCTAATTAAGTTGAATTTTAGTGAAATACCTCTTTATCTTAGTGTCAAGGTTCGTTGGAAAAATTGTTTTAATTTCAGAGAAAGACTTGGTTTTATTTTTATTACATGGAGAGACAAAACTCATTTAAATATGACTATAAAAAAAGGGTGATGCGAGCAAGACTCAATTTATAAATAAAATTTTGTAAAAAAAATGACATGAAAGTTGATTATTGGATTATTACTTAAGCGTTCATCAACGTGCTTATTCCTATCGGCGACACATCATTTAGTTTGTAAATTTTGTCTCCCTAACATTACCCATTAAAAAAAATGAACAATTGTTTAAATAATAATGCAATCAATCTTTACACAAAGATATGGAGTGGTTTGGTGGCTAATTGGTTGTTGTGGACTCCTTATACCAGGTTCGACTTCTTCTTCGGAGCATGTGTTACTTTAATCACTACTACAATACACAGTTTCCGTGACGAACTTCAACTTCGGTCGCTTAAACATTGGCACGATGAAAACGTCGTTGCACAAATGTAGGGGTATCATCGCGCCAAAACAAAGGGTACGATAGCTTCTTGTTGCGTTAAGTTTACGGCCACGACAACTAGTCGTTAGGTAAGGCTCTATGAGACGAAACGAATTGTTTCGTCGAGTAAACAAGAATGCAACAAAATTTGTCACATAATATTTGGTCTTCGAGTAATTTTAATATTTTGAATTTTGAAATTTTCGTCGTTCAAGATACTGCGCCACAAGGTCTTATAGGATGAAGTAGCTTCTTGTTGCGTTAAGTTTACGGCCACGACAACTAGTCGTTAGGTAAGGCTCTATGAGACGAAACGAATTGTTTCGTCGAGTAAACAAGAATGCAACAAAATTTGTCACATAATATTTGGTCTTCGAGTAATTTTAATATTTTGAATTTTGAAATTTTCGTCGTTCAAGATACTGCGCCACAAGGTCTTATAGGATGAAGGTATTACGCCATGCAAAGATTTTTCTTGATTTTTTTTTCTTTTATATTTTTGTTAAATTACATATTTTAATTAAATAATTTGTAATTATTTTAATTAAATTATAAACAATAATTAATAAACAGCAAAAAAATATTATATAACACATATATACATATATATATATATGTATGCATGTATGAAAATGTGCGTACAAGTTGAATTTTTTTTTTTGTTTATAATATCTGAATATTAAAAATAAAAAAATAAAAAAAAAAACTACAGAAGAAAGTCGTCAAGGTCTACTACGTCGGCCTGCTAGGTGGAGTGGTTAGGAGCTCGAAGATGGTGAGGAACATCTACTGGCTAAGGAGCAGCTAGTGGCATCAGGAATTGGAAATCAGACAACTAGAAAGCGTGTAAGATCTAGCTCATCTTACCGCCATGGGCCGCAAGCTGGGTGTACTGTGCCGAAAGCCGAGTAGTTTAGGTCGTAGGCTGGGCATTCTAAGCCATAAGCTTCTGTTTCAGGTTCACAACTTCCTGCGTCAACGTGGTGATCTGTCTCGTGCTCTGTCGGGAAGAGGAGGCAGCAACGTCACAATGTCGTGGATTTCCCATCCCTGGGACAACCTTACCAAGCCTACGATCGAGCATCTGATCCAGGGACTCAGCAATGACATTTCTTAATAGTTTTTCATGTTTTTCGAATGCTTCACTGTCCATGGTTGGAGGGGCGTCATCTTCCCCTTCCTAATTGGTGTTTGTCGAGGTATATGGATAAGCGTCATTTATAATATCTATAACTTGTTCATCACGATCCACATTAGATTAAACAGTCTCCACTCATGTCACTATGAAGGTGAAGCATGGTCTAATCATTCCCCATGATAATTTCCCCTACTTGTGAATTTAATAAATTGATCTATTCTATCCAAGTATTTAACAACACCTCTGTTCGGATTCTATATCCATTATCTGTCCATTTTGTTTGCAAACACAATTAAAGTACTATGATTACAACAACTTCAACTATGTCTTGTCACCTTATCCCTTAGTGTAACAACACAGTTATGTAACGTAATTTACGATTCCATCAAATTAGATTTCGACGTGAAATTTTTTTTGGCATTCCTACAGTTCTTCAAGTGCACAATGTAGCTAGCATGCACTTGTAAAAAGATGTTACCAAAATTTTCATAATCGAAACCTAATTCATGAACCATAAACTACAACACATAACTGTGCATTCCCAAACTGTCTAAAAAATTGGACAATTCAAGAATCAATTGGACTGCAGTCATGCTTCGTATCTATGTACGAAATCCAACTAATTCTCAAATGGAAAATTAAGTTTTTCTTGAACAAAAGTATATGAAGTTAAGTATTGTTACTTCCATACAACATAAATATTTTTCTACATGATGCACAAAAATATTTGCATATAAATAAATTAAATCACAAAAATTACAAAAAATAAATTAAATAACTTAAATTTATAAAAGACAAATTAGTGAAGAAAATACCTTCAAATTCGTTCTTCACAGATAATCGTATACAACAACACTATAGAAAGAAAATTGAATTTTGTTAGTTTGAATTCACAATTGAAAATTTTAAATGCAAAATCAAATTGGTTGCCGGAGAGGGATAGATCGAGGAAGGGATAGGAGATGGAGATGGAGATGGAGATTGAGATGGAGGGAGATGGAGGATGAATTTGAGAGAGAAGGGAGTAGAGGAGATTTCAAAGATATATGAGGGAGGGAGAGGCAGCTGCTGCAGTTCTTGTGCAATTTTTGCCTCTCTCGCGGTTGGGTAGTTTGATTATAAACATGAGATCTTTGTGCGATGAAGGCTTCATTGCGCAACACATATGTCACCGATTAACCCTAATTTAATTTATGTGATGAAAGATTCATCACTCAAAGTATCTTCGTGTGAACAATGTTGAATTCGTCCCACGAAGTACCTTTGCATGACCAAATTGACTTTCGTTGCACATAGCACCTTTACGCAACAAGAGCTTTGTCACAAGAGTTATTTATTAATTTTTCTAATTTAATTAATATGGACTAACTTTTTTTACTAAATTAAAGAAAATAAAATATAAATGAGATATTTAAATCATCCATATAATAAATCAAATAAAGCAAACAAATACTTAAAGTAAATATTTAATCCAAATACAAATTAAGAAAATATTTAAGGTTACTGTCTACAGATGTTAATATAATCTGATTACATGCTAAAAAAATTATTTTATTCATCCATAACATCTAAATAAAACATTTATTGCACTGGAGGTGCTTCTGCATTTCGATCGGTGTCATGCTTCCACTTCCGGTAACGCCTCTTGAATATGCAATTGATGAAATTCATCAGGTTAGGGTCCATTTCATCAGCAATAAAATCAACCTAATTGGCACCTCATCCAACAAAGACCTCTTTAGGTCCTATGGCATTTTTTCCAAGATACCAACTCCCTAGGACATTCGTTCTGCACCTATGTTGTGCCCAAGCATGGCGTGCGTCTCCCTCTTTGATCTTTTAAGTTGCATGTCATAGTTGATCTGCCTTGGCCCGTCATTATTCTCACTTCTGGCCCACCCTGACATTTTTGTTGTTGTTTCTCTACCAAAAAAAAAAAAAATTTTTAATAATCAAAGTAAGTAAGTCGTCAACTTTTTTTAATAGTAAACTAGTCAAAAACTTCAACAACAAAAAAACCATACAATTCATACAAAAATTTGGTATTACCTGTCCAAGATCCTTCTTCTCATATCCCTGTTTAACTGGAGCAACAACGGAATCGAACATCTACAACATTATAATTTGACTATATTCGAAAACTCACAACTTATGAGACATAATTTATAAATTAAAATTAGTTATTGAAACAAAATTGTTCTTCATTTAGATATATAAAGACTTACCTTGTAAATGAAGATTGTCGATAGAAAGAGTCATGGAAAAGGGAAACAAGAATTGATATGAGGGGTTTGGGGGAGAAGAAACAAGGGGATGAGGGATTTGAGGAAAATGATGGGAAGAGAATGAGGAAAAAGGGAGAGTGGATCTGAGATTTTATACAACTCATGAACCTTTTACACGATGAAGCCCCCGATGTGCAAAGTCTGCATAATTACTCTGCCCCAAACGTCTCACAGACCACACCGACCATTTCAAAGTGCTTTACACAACAAAGTGTTTGTTGCACAAGTTTTACACGACAACTTGCCCTAAACGTCTCCCTCTTTGATCTTTTAAGTTGCATGTCATAGTTGATCTGCCTTGGCCCGTCATTATTCTCACTTCTGGCCCACCCTGACATTTTTGTTGTTGTCTCTCTACCAAAAAAAAAAAAAAATTTAATAATCAAAGTAAGTAAGTCGTCAACTTTTTTTAATCGTAAACTAGTCAAAAACTTCAACAACAAAAAAACCATACAATTCATACAAAAATTTGGTATTACCTGTCCAAGATCCTTCTTCTCATATCCCTGTTTAACTGGAGCAACAACGGAATCGAACATCTACAACATTATAATTTGACTATATTCGAAAACTCACAACTTATGAGACATAATTTATAAATTAAAATTAGTTATTGAAACAAAATTGTTCTTCATTTAGATATATAAAGACTTACCTTGTAAATGAAGATTGTCGATAGAAAGAGTCATGGAAAAGGGAAACAAGAATTGATATGAGGGGTTTGGGGGAGAAGAAACAAGGGGATGAGGGATTTGAGGAAAATGATGGGAAGAGAATGAGGAAAAAGGGAGAGTGGATCTGAGATTTTATACAACTCATGAACC